TTGTGCTTCTGAAATATTGTGAAAGGTTCCCTCTTGATCGGAGAATAGTTTCCACATAATAACATGAATAGGAGGGTATAATAAATCACTTCTAATAAAAGTATTTCTTGGCTACCTTTGTGTGGGAAACGCAAAAAGTTACAAGTCGAAGAACTGAAAAGTGGTGAAAAATAGGGTGAAATATGGCGTGGTTATTGTGTCGGTTGAGGTTTTACTTTCTTTCATTTCAATTCTTATTTCATACTTACTTTGAGTTGATTTCTCAGAAATGATATCACTTACTTTGGTATTCAAAGCTTGTATTAATCCTTAACTTATTCACATAAACAGTAGGTACCTACTCGTAGTTAACTGATCCATTTTTAGTATTTTTTTTAAATTAAGTTAATTATTATTGTTTTAAAATTTTTAAAACGTATGTGGTTAAGATGGATCCTTGTTGAATGGATGGCGACGCTTGATAGGAGGTATCCACTCGGTACAAGCGCACTACTACAGGTAAAAGAACTCTACCAAGGGGATTTCGAGTGCCTCTCCATGTCTAACATAGTGAGCAGTTTTTAAGGACTAGCCCTTTGACAATGCATCTCTAGGTTACGTTAGTACACAGACCTGATTAATATCTAAATTTGAGTGCATATTGAGATATCGTATCTATCCTATCTTGGAAATCTTGGAATCTTTAATTAAAAACTAAAAAAAGGCACTCGTGTTTCCTGTGTAAATTAGAAAGAAATCTTTTGTTATTTCGAATTTTAGGACAAATCGCTAATTAATTTTAATAATTTGTATTATAAATAAGATTTCAAATATTAAAATAAGAATATAACACCATAAATCGTCTTAGACAGCATTCACTCATAATCCTGTGAAATTCCGCCTTTGAAGACCTTCCGATGTCTTCGTTGCCAATCCGGGTATTTGCAAGTTAAGTCTTGTCATTTGTAGGTTTTCTTCGGGAAACGAGGATATGGTATACTCTGATAAGTATAAATCTAATACATACATTAAAGAGCAGTTACTTGGAAAAACTAAGTTAACCCTTTAACTGGTATAGAGAAAAATATTTTTCATTAGTTTTGTACCTTATGTTTTCTCATAAGGTTCAAAATATGGTGGCAACAATTCTGCCACTACCAGGTAAAGGTTTAATGTTTGCGATTAGCGCAGAAATCCGCGGTTCAACATAGCGAATAAAAAAATGAGAATAGTAACTGGGTATTAATAATGATATCGACTGTGGTAGTCGAGACATTCATGACAAGAATAAGTAGATAAATCGATTGATATCGGTTAAGAATGGTAGAGTTCTGCACCGTTCAGAAAATATTTTCACCGTGCATTACAGACGAGTATGCGGTACGTAAATTGAATTCAGCTGTACAAGCATACACGCGTCTTACCTATGTATACCTACCTTTATTCCCTATGCATCTCAAACTGCATTGGAGCGGAGTGCTCGGTAGACGGTCGGTCGCACAAATCAATGTAATGTGCTGCACCCAACCAATCTCTCTCTCTCAGAGCCGTCTAGACTGCACGCTGAGCCAACCTTCGACTTAGATCGTAGCTTAATTAATAAAATCAAACTGATCGGGCGGGCTTTCATGTAGGGTAATTGCGCCGGTTTTCCGTCCAGCTCCTGTTTTCGTCCATTTGACCGACTTGCCACAAACAAATACGGAAAATTAGAATACAAACCTAACTTTCCGTGCAAGTTTGGACTTGTTACAATCTATAATATCTAAGTAACAGTTCTGCTTGCATGAAAATGTAATTTGACAAGTAATAACTCCAAAAAAATCTACGGAAGTTGCTGCTGCACACAGGTGAATGGAAAACGTCGTCAAGTTAGAAAAAAAACGTGCCGGTAGGGAACATTCATGGTATGTTTAATTACTGTTTTAGCTACTTTACGTAATGTTTTTGGCACGTATGTCTAATTATTAGCATAATAAACACTATTTTAATGGTTTATTAAAGTTTTTGTATATAAATCTTAGATAATTAAGTGGACTAATAACTGCACCCTTTTTTCTACACAGTGGTCGAAAACTAGCGTACACTAGGACGAAAACTGATTTTTTGGACGAAAACTAGTGAAATCGCCTCTTTTGCATAAAATATTTTTTATTAAAATACCCGTGGTATTTACTTATTGTCATATAATATTAACGTAAAGTAGACTATACAGGGTGTTAGGTAAATGGGTATATGAGCCGACACTAGACCGTGTTAACATGGTCATATAAATGGTATGGTGAAGTCAGAAATTTGATATCATCATTTTGATTTTTTTAATTTTCATACAAAATAAATTTTATAAAATCCGATTTGTATGAAAATTAAAATAATTAAAATGAAGATATCAATTTTCTGACTTCACCATACCATTTATATGACCATGTTAACATGGGCTAGTGTCGGCTCATATACCCATTTACCTAACACCCTGTATAAGGATTAAAATGACATATGATACATATGAGTAAGGGTATTTTAAGATATTCATTTCGTATCACAAAGTTGGCAACTCCGATAATTGGACGAAAACTAGCGCACTTACCCTACGAAATGCCGCGATGGCCGTTTGGTTTATTTTCATTCCTCTATTTAGCTCGAAAGTTTTCTCTGTCTGAGAAACCGGATACGTAGGTACCTATTCTGAGTCTAGCTAGACGCAAGTCATTTTATTATTTTGGTGACTTTATATAAAATAATTTACTTTTAACTACTTTGAGTATAGTCTAGGAATTTAATTAACCTAAGAATCAAAAAACATAAACGGCGTTGAAAATAAAAGGAGTCCATAAAACAAGTGAAAAGTGATAAACCAATCATTTACGAGTAATGTGTTGTGCTGAATATGCAGATAATTCTAATAAGTAGTCAGGGAAAGCCCTGTTTGTGGCCCTGTCTTGTACTTAATTAGTCTAATCTAAATATTGAAATTCAACCTGAAACTATTTTTGAGATTAGTCGACATAATAGCGTCGCGAGTAGTTTAGTTCCTAGTTACAAGTCATATTCTAATTTTGGATGTAGAGAAGCCTAGCCTTAATGATAAAAACACCAATATCAAATGAAAATGTTCTACTCATTTTTTTGTGTTTGATACACTGAACATTTATCATCATTACTATATGGTGTCTGTTCGCGAAGACACGAAATGAATAGAAACATTTCTACAAATCGTAACATTGGTGTATCATTGTAAGTAGAGGTATTTGTGTTGCAGAGGGATGAGCGACCTCCAGGGTCATACGGTGACTGAGGGAGCGTTGCTAGGCAACGGCGACCGCTGTGCGGTGTTCCCTCCATTCAAAAACGCAACAAATTCCTATATTTCAATCAAATTACAGAAAAAACATCACTCTTATAGAACAGACAGAACATCATCCTATTTTATAAAGTTGATTATTGTACCTTTCATAAAATATTTGTTTGTTATTAATCACCTACTTATGTTTATGTAGCGAATCGTCATCGATCACGTAGATGACCTATTTTTACATGTAATTGATAATTTTAAAAAATGTGGTAATACAGTTTGAATAACTCACAAACCACACGTACATTTATTTTTAAAAAATATAATTTTATTAGAAAACTCGCTTTTTACGATTTATTTCTATTTTATCAATTTTTATTATAACTTTATTTTAGATGTTAAAATGGTATTAATTTACGATATCTTAGCGCCATCTAGTGAGTCATTGTAGTAACATCACACATCAAAGCTCAAACATGCTGTGACAGATGTCTCTAGTAACGGAAACATAACACGTATTTCTACATTTATTCTTGAAAATAAAAATCAATACTATTATTTTTCATATATTTTATTTTAATGCGTAAAACTAAATTTACATAAAATTCTAACAATATAATAATCAAGCCAAGCAACGCCTATTTAATTTCTACATTAAAAGGCAGAGGTCACTGTATACAGAAAATAATATGGTTATATTTTATTTATTTTTTTCAATTTAAGTAATTTCATAGTAGATAGTATGTTTAATTTATTATTTTATTAAAATAAATACAATTTTTGATATCCAATATTTACTTTTTAACTTGGTCAACAAATTCGCCGTAGAGGTCATATGACGAGGTGGCCGAGTGGTTAAGGCGTTGGACTGCTAATCCAATGTGCTCTGCACGCGTGGGTTCGAATCCCATCCTCGTCGATCCTTTTTGGTTTCTTAAGAAAACAAACCTGTAACTATTTTTATGTAATTTCTATAAAAAAAATATATATTCTTCTAAACAAAGCCTCTCATTGACTATGAAAGTGGAATTTTTAATGGGAAGGTTATCAGTCCGCTGGATAGATCGACCGCTACACAATTTTCTCAAACACTACACAATACACAGTGTATACTTAGGCTGGGTTGCACCATATTACTTTAACTTTAAAAAACGACAAAAATCTGTCAAACTCCATACAAAAAGCACCGGTATAGTTACCGTTACAGTTAGGTGGTGCAACTCAGCCTTAGTCACCAATATCAATAAAGTTAAATAGTTTGCGGACTCAAAAAGAATGATCTATCTTCATGAGTAGGTAAGTTGATATTTTGAGTAGTCGGGGTTATTACACAAGCTCAGAAACCTTTAATTTTACAGTTAACTTAAGTATAAATGCTGCAGATGGAAAGATTATTTTTTTGATAGTAACTAATTTAACCTACAAATATTTCGTAGCTATTACTTAATGTAGAATAAAATGTGTCTACCTACGTCAATACGTGAAATAATAAGCAATACCCTAATTTATTTGTAGGTCATTAGAACTAGATCAACAAACTGAAAATGTTATATTCAAGTGACAAATCTCAATTTGGAATTATATCGTACACATTGGTTTTCCATAATCTGGCCCCTATCTCTGTAATCACTAGCGAAACCTGATATAGGCGAGATAACGCTTTGTATGTATGGTTATCATTGTTACGAATTTATCTAGACCTGTTTTTCATTATCTTATCCACCTGTAACTAGCACTTTCATGAGTCGCCTCAGTACTGGGCGCGCCCAAAGTCGATAGAGTTCTTTGTCTGATTGATATTCGTTAATCATTACAGTTTTTGGTGTGAAACTCATGGTAGTGTAATGGACATGTGATTTGGAAAAGTGTTTTCTGGAAAAAGTGGAACAGTGGTTTTGATTAACTGAGGACGTTTTTAATTGACACAGCATTAGGTAGGTCGCCTTTTGTTCAAGGTTTTTTGTAAACGGTAATTAGGACATAAATAACCAAGTGCACGATACTGAGGTGTGGTGTGATATTGTAGAGGCCCAGGAGGCCTATCAGCGAATTATGGATCGTGCTATGCTGGATATGCTCGAAGTTACTTTGATGGATAAAATTCGTAACGAGGTTATCTGACAGAGAACCAAAGTCATCGATATAAAGCATACGGAATTAGCAAGCTGAAAATGGCATTGTGCTCTATATCTGTCGTAGAACGATAACCGCTTGGGTGAATGAGATTTTTAATGAAGACCATATCTCGGTAACCGTCCTCTAGTTAGGCGAAGTCAGATCAATTAGCCGGACTGGGTAAAATTGAGCGTATTAGACTATTCCTATGTCCAGCACGCGGCACGCTGTGGACAACTATAGGCTGACAATAGGAAAGCCTTGTTATTTGTAAAATTATCATAGCGTCGAACCATTGTTTTAATTTTCCACGTCGATAAGTATCGAGGTTTTGTGTCATCCTCAAAGCTATTTTAAAGAGACTACGAGTATAAGTTTGTTTAACTACTTATTTCTAATTCAAAGAAATTACTCATCACCCAAGAACGCCGTTTTTATCAAAAGATAAAAAGGTTATGAATACGAGTACGAAGCTAAAGCGTCCTTATAATAAAGTGCCAATAGAAAATGTATACTTAAACATAAATCCTTTATATTCTATCTATACCGACATGAATAATATCGAAAGTAGAGCAAGTAAACACAATAAATTGGGCAACAGTCTACTTCCAATTCATATTCAAAGGCTGATAAGATTGGATTGGGGAACCTATTTACGCCCATACAAAGTATGTAGGTGGAGAGTTTAACGTGTTATGATTATTCTAAGCCTCAATATATTATTGTGGAATACCTACCTAGTTGATTGTAGGTATTGTTTATTATTTGTGGCTATTTCTAACGGACTTAGAGGAACGACTTTACTACTTTGAAAACTATAATACTTACTTAATGCCTCTTAATGCAGTGAATTTACTCTCACATGATGTAGTTAATTACAAACTACCTAGTTATCTCATCTCCTCTGAATGCAGGTACCTATCGTATGTACCTTTTCTTGATAGGTGATTGCTATCCTTGAATAAGCCATACAAGATAACGTAAACTTCAGATAACTAATAATTTTCAGAAAGTGATTCAACTTCCACAAACACAAACCGGATGTAACTTTTCAGTAGGTATCCAAAATTACTCTTTAGACAATGTATAGAGAAGTTTTCAGTATTCAGCCGCTCCCAGTTGCCGATAAAATCAATTAATCACGAATGCCATAAAGGTCTCGTCATCGACATTCTTATCGCTGTTATCGTCTCATTTTTATCCTAGTTTAACCTATCTAGGACATTGCAGAAACAACAAGTTTGATTATATTTAATATTTACAGTGTTGACGTGCAAAAGGTGATAACTTCATAAATTCTGAAAATGAAAAGTTTACGCTACTTCCGATTTAAAATGATTTTTGTAAATATTAGTACTTAACTACTTAGTAATATGTGGTGCAGAGGGTAATGATCCTGTCGAAACAATAACCTGATGATGATATTTCAATTTCAACTGAATAATTTATTCTAACTCTAGCGGCCTAGATTGTTGGCCTCATGCACACCAAATATGCAGAATTCGTTCATAGTTTATGGAGTGTATTTGTAACTATCATTCAATGAATTTATTTATTGAATTTGAATTATTTCATAATCGGCAACCAGGATATGTGCAAATCTTGGTAGAGTCGTTTCTTCCCGTGTCAGATAGAACTCATGTGAGTGGTTCTACACGACTAAACCTTAAAAAAATCTTTTCTTTAAAATTAAGTTCTAAATAAATGCTTTTCCGTTGCACAGATACACAATGCCTTGGGTTCCGGCATTGCTGTTGGTAGCCATCGCTACCGGTGCGCACGCGCAGTCGACGGGACAGACCAGCGTGGCGCCAGATCTGCGCGAATGCTACACAAACCCGTGGCTGCTGAACCGGAACAACCTACCTCCAACCACGATACAGACCCTCATTGACATCATCCGCCAGATTGAAGACAATCCTAATGTCAACGTTGATATGAGGACGATGGCCGCTTTGCTGCTACACACGTAATAACTGCTTTATTTCTTTTTCTCAAAAGCCTCGAACATAGGGCACTAGTATTGTTAACATTGTTTTAGCAAGCGTTGCATACCTTAAGACTTGTGCTCTAATGCAGATGAAGCTTTGATTGTACATTGAAGAAAGAGACTTTCCAAACTCCACAAAACATCCACAAATTAAAAAAAAAACTTTCCTCACATAAGTCGTGAACTTTCGTTACCATACTAACGTTAGCGAACTCTGTATTTCAGATACCGGCAAGATGGTATCGAGTACCACAGCAGAGACGGCGTTGCGTCCGCAAATGTGTTGCCTTTCTCTCCAACGTTCCACTCCTTCCACCGACACCGGTTGCTGCTGAGGATGATCCCTAGCAATCTGCAGGCATTGCCTAATAACACTCTTTCTGCCCCACTAAAGGTGTGATGTCTTAAGTTTTTAAGCAGTGGTCTACAATCCGCCAATCGTATAATTTGTGCAAAAAATTAAGCAAAACTTGAAGTGGCGGCGACTGTAAATAGAATTTAAAAAAGTATTTTATTTACTGGTTTATAGTGTGCTCTTCACCACATGCTGTCTACCACTGTCGACGCTCGACTGCGTGGTGACGAAAGCAGCTGCGGCCAGCTCTCCCAATATCGAGCATTGAGAACTTCACGCTCAGTTCGGTCAGTTAAAGACGATGTCGAATTACTTGATGTGTCTAAGCTGTAAGTTAATTGTTTCCACGATAAGGCCTTGTTAAAATTTCAAGAAGACATTTTAATATTAGGAAATGTTTTTATGATACGATAAGAATTTTCTAAAACATATTTTCAGCAGAGGAAGAAATGGTCAGATGCGTCAGTATAATCCCAATGACGATGTGGAGTCCACAGGGTCTTTCGGACCCAAAAGAGCTCGCCAGTTAATGGGTGACAGTGCTTGTCCTATCCTGACCGGTGTAGTCAAGACCAAATGGGGCGATGTCTCCGTGGGCAACCTGATAGCGGGAATTGCCGCGGGCACTGAATCACAACAAGTCCCTATTACGGAACTTATCAGGGGCTCCACACTAAACTACCAAAATGTCCAAACAACTCTTACTTCAATTTTTCCAGCTACACTGTCAGGTATGTTTTAAATTAAAGTACCTACCTACTTTATAAAATTCAATGTACTCTAATGGTGTATTACCTATACCTACGTAGTAGGATAACATACATAACTTCTCAGATTGTAATTAATAACGCACTACTTCGAATTCGCTACGCATACTTGAACTGTGTAAATAAACAAATGAAATATCCAGAAAGTACTAAGTCTGATTAGTTCCTGTCCGTTATTTCTTTGTTTAAAAACTACTAACTTCTAGATTATGACTAATGTAGAAATATTTTCCAGGTGATTTAGCTGAAGCTGTCTTGATTCAGGGGACACGGGGAAGCCAGATAATCTCTGTTGGCACTGCCGGCCATTGGAACAGCACTCAAGCACAAAGATTCTTTATGCTGAGTGAACGCTCGAATGTTGAAATGACAGACCCCGAGATTCGTGGCGGCATAGACGGTTTTGTTCTAGGAAACAGTTCAGCTGAAGGTCTGAGAATTTACAGTTCCTTGAGATTGTCACAGTTGCTTGATATGTACTTTGCACCCAGGGTAAGCTACCGTCAAATAGATTTTTTACATAATTCAATATTGTTACTTCTCCGCATTCTACAGTAGCTGATTACACGGTCTCATCTACTTGATGAAAGCTAATAAATAACATCATGATCAGATATATGAAGGTTTTTCCTCAACATCAAAAAGTAACAATTACGTCTTATTCCTCTTTTCAGAACGGGTTTTTCAATACAAACTTAAGAGCCTGTAACCGCCGGAATCTAAGTCTCACTCACATCAATAATGATGCCTTAGCAAGCGAGACAAGAGCATTTACGGCCGCTTTAGATTCGATCATGCCCCTGGAAGGAACTTTAACTGGCGGCCTCGAAGGCCTTGTACAGAGTGCTATCACAAACTATCAAACCTACACTTGTGAGTTAGAAATTAATTTGATTTAAATACTTATGTAACTAATCCAACCTTTACGTAAAGTGTGTTTCTGTGTTACTTTATCAACTCATATTTTATTTACAGCAAATACTATGAACGATCTAAACTGCATCATCACTGAGGCTACATCTCCAGATTTCCGACTAAGAACCAACTTATACATCGTTCTTGACTCATCTTGGCCGTACAATACTATATATCCTGCTATCTCATACCTACTGGAAGCCATCGAAGTGAACAAATATGGATCAAGTGTAACATTGCTCAGTGCAGCTGATGGACGTGTTCTTATAAACCAAACATTGTCGCAGTCAGAATTCCATTTATTATACAATGCGACTACTCATCAGAGCTGTAAGTTCAAACAGTTTACGGGTTTTCCTAAACCATATTATATATCACTCATACATCAATATTACTTCTTAATTAGGCTGGTACCTACTTTGAACCTTCTTAAATTTTGTTTCAGTTCCTACTGGTGTGAATCTGGAAACCAGTCTGCCAAATATACGCCAACTATTGTTGGACACTCTTCGCAATGAAAGTAGTTCTAACTTCGTTGGTGGAAACTCTTCGGTGTTATTGTATTTACTTAACTCTGGCACTATTCAAAATAACAACAATGTTTGGGAACAGGCTCGTTTACTTAGAGAAGGCGTCCCAGGTAACCGCACTTATTAACTCGTTCAATACCTACATTCTGTAACAATGAATTACCTACTTTACTTAACTTTTCAAGGAGACGATACTAAGCTTTAATTTATTTCAGATACAAGGCTTGTTTTTGGAACTTCTTCAAATCAAGTAGAAAATCTATCTAATTTGGTCCGTGACCCCCAAAACGATGTAATAACTCTAACCCTCACATCAACTGGCACCCAAGTTGACACTACTATGTCCCAAGTGTTGTCTACTATTCAAATGAGTAAGTGTGTTTACATTTTATTATGAGACTAGTAATTTTTGGCTTTATAAAGCTTAGCCTGTAAGCAAGCAAAATAAGTTTCATCCTGATATTTAGGCCAAATAAAGGCCAACTTACAAACTTCTAAGTTAGTGTGGGTTAAATACAGATGCTTAATTTCTATTTTGTACTTAGTTAAGTAGTTATATTATGTCATTATTTTTACAGCGGGGAGAAGAGTTGTAAACCCTCTTTGTGGAGCCAATTTTGCGGCAGGATCTTCGGGTGTGAGACAGTTTGACGATTCTGTGGAAGCCGGCTTTATCAACTTTTACAGAGTCAGCCCAAATTACTTCTACCTTAATAATGACAACGCAAGAGTTCGCGTTTCTTTCGGCACAGCTGGAGTTGTACAAGGCAGTCTTACTGTGTGCCACTCACGTTCTGTTATTTTACCAAGGTAAGAAACTTAATTTACAAAGTGCTTTAATCATAGAAAAAATATAAAAGTAGAATGCAGTTTTGTTTTAATTGAAACATACACGTAAAGTAATAAAGTTGCAAGACTTGAGCCTGAAAGAGTCAAATACTTAATCTGAATGATAATGTTATCTAAAAAATATGACATTTGAAGATGAAAGTTCTACCTTAATCTCCATTATTAAAGTTAAGACGTCGTGTACCTACTCGTAGAGAGCAGGACTTGGGTGTACCGTACGTACCTAAGTAGTAAAATTCGAACGACTTTTCCAGACAAAATTCAACATTAGAACCTGACGCCAGTGCAATTACTTGCCAGAACGTTGTAACAGCCACCAACGTGGATATGAGTCTACAGAACGCATGTAATGGTTTTTCGACCATAGGCGCTTGTCCGCCGCTCTACTTCTCTGTACAAGCCAACGCAGTTGGGGAAACTACTACAGCTACCTGCACAGGTATGTATAAAAAGTGTATAATTAATTATTTATTATTATTAACTAAGTACTTCTTACTTTTAATAGTTTTTAGCTCATTACATATTTACATACTTTCTTTAAAAGATAAAGTAGCTAAAACGGTGTATAAAGGCCAAAACCTTAAGGTTAACACTTAATTAAAAACACTTAACCTACCTTATTGGTGGTTGTACTTGTGTGGTTAGTATGTACAATACTATTTTCTTTTCAGATGTAAATGTTTGCCGATTCCCAAACAGCATCCGGTATCAAATCGAGGTGGATGGACTGGGTTGCTTCAGTAACGCAACCAACCTTTTATCCAGTGTATTTTTCGTTTTGTTTGGATTAATCCTAAATATAGTCAGAAGCCTATAGTTTACATCGAAAAACACTGTAATAAGTTTTTNGTTTGAAGTTAAGCGACACAATTTAATGGACTATAAGCCAATATAGGTCTCATTGGTGGTGGACATTTGGACCACTTTTGGTCATTGTCCTTTGCCTTTAGGATGACAAATATTTACTTACTTTTTATTACGAGTATAACCGATGCCATCGATCGATGTAATTAAATTAACCCATTTAGACCGATAATTATTTTTGTAGTAAAGTTGTGTAATATTTATTTACTATTCTTAAGCTGAAGACGATAAATAAGTTAAAAAAAATGTTGAGACATGTCACAGGGTACTGCTTTTATGCCACCGCAACAAAATGTTACTGAAATAAGTTAATTCATTGATAAATACAATATTTTTTTACCAATAAATAATTCAAAAGACTTCGATATTTTTATTGATCACTTGCATAAATGCCATATCAACTCGGAAGAAAATCGAAAATTCCAGTTATTTTCTTCGTTCCTAGACGCGTCATTGAATGGAGATCATGCAACTTTTGTTTTTTTTTATGGCTTCGTGCAGTTTGCACATATTAGCCAGAGTTTATTCATTATTTGAAACCTGACAGAAACTTGAAAATAAAACTTTATACACGACGCTTCACTTTCCCGCCAAGAAATCACTTGAAGCTGTTCAACTGTTCAAACATTACTAAATACATATTCCATAGGCAAAAAAAGCGGAGCACCATTAGAAACACTTTGTGGCAAGGCTCAAAGAACTAGATCCCACAGTCGTAAAAACCAAATAGATAAAAAAGTTGTCTGTGGTTATCTGTCATTAACGTCATTTAACATTTTGCTGTCAGTGTCAGTCGAACGTCAAAATAAGTAAATAAACTTATTTCTTGTTGTTTTCTTCTTTTTTAATTAAAATTTAATAATACATTTTATCATTTAAAATGTCTGGTGAAGATTGCGATGCCCTAGACCGTGGTGATAATGATGGACAAAAATCTGATAAGATGTTTACTCTCAAAAAATGGAATGCTGTTGCAATGTGGAGCTGGGATGTAGAATGCGATACTTGTGCAATTTGTCGCGTCCAAGTAATGGGTAAGTTTACCAGAATATTTTCTCGACCGTTAACTAACTAAAGCATACTTACTTTAATTCACACCGATACGTTTTTCGCTAAAAACAGAAATACTTTGTGGGTCTGTGGCCTACCTTCATCATTAGGTCTGTCAGTTCAACCACTTCTTTGGAGTAATTTCATCATTAAATAATATTCTTTTGTAGTTGCAAATTTATCTGACTGAACGCTGTAGCGTCATATACCTATATTCATAACCATAAAACTTTATTTGTTTATAGGTAATAAGTTAAATTTTACAGAAAAAATTACTGATAATGCATTGTTGGGTGATAACATTTCAATTTTGCATACATTCTATTGTTAATTTTCCATAAAAAATTCTGGTAGTTGTTTTTCTAACCTAAAAAAGACAGTAATTTTTAAAACTTTTTAACCTTTTTTTCACTTTCACCCTCAACAAACTATGTATTGATGAAAAAATTTTGTTTGTACTTAGTTCACTTAAAATAATACACATACATATTATTATTATCTTTTTTATTTTACATTTAATAACTAAGACATAGATCTTAACTTTAAATTGAGATTTCTGTAGGGTGGGCAGAATGGACATAATAATAGTATGACAATCAACACTTAACAAGCTCAAATTGATTTTTTTGTCACATATGCTACTAAATATAAGTTTAAGATTCCACGGTAAAATTGAGTAAAATGTTAACAACATTTTTCTGTAGGCAATTTTGCAGGTATGTATCCTCATTACTCCATCTAAATCTTGAAATGCTAAGTTTTCACTTTTCAATAAAGTATTTGATTTCCAAAAAAAGAGGTTTGTTATTTTCTAGATAACAAATTCACTTCAAGGTTTAATATAATAAAATAAAAATATTCCTTAACATTCTATACTGCGCCATCCAGTCCCAATCTAAGCAAAGCTTGTAACTATGGGTACCAGACCACAGATTTAAAATGCAATTGTAATATCATTAATTGATTATTTTTTTGGTCAATATTGACCAAATTGACAACTATAATTAACAATAAATTAATTAAAGTGACAAACATTAAATACTCATAACAATTTGGACACCCTTCTAAGTACAAAATTATTAAAATAGTTATATTATTATAGTCTATAGACAACATTTAAAAAAATATTCAGTCTAACAACTAATTCTTTTGTCTATAGATTTTTTTTTCACTAGTATAAGGACTATAAGACAGTGCACTGTCTACCTTACATTTTATAAAAAAATAACAAATAATATTCTATTATTCAAAATAACTAACAAATAAGTTATGTTTTAATTACACTTTCCTATCTTATGTTAATTTACTTACAAATAATAATTAATTCTTTCACTTAAGTGTAATAAATTAAGATTAATTCTTATTTTGATTAGTCAATTAAAATATTCAAGTAATAAGTATGGCTTTAAGTTTATCTATAACATTTCATATAGATCTATCTATTTTTATACATTTCTTAAAATACGACATTAGTGTAGGAATATTATTTTCCAAAACCCTATCTCAATAAATATCTTTAACTCTAATAAAAAGAGCTGGCTGTGATCAAAATATCGTGTTTCTTGCATTAGCAATTTTAGTTAAGCGGTGATACTTGGATAATTAATCAGTTAGAAAAATTACAGCATTACTATAAAATAATTTGTAATAACATAAATCAGCAACCATTTGGCAGTGGTTTTATATTTGCTATTGAGCTCATCCTACGAGTTCTAGCGGTAGATCTGCCTGTTAATTTATTCTCAATTTGTTCCAAACTCTTGCCTCTAGTTTCGGGTACAAATACTACCACGAAAAACAAACCCACGAAAGTAATACATCCAAATAGCCAAAACGTTCCTGCTGGCCCAATACCATCTATTATATTTAGAAATGTTTTTGTAACCGTAAATGTACATAACCAGTTAAATGCTGTGCATATAGAAGCGGCGGCTCCCCTTATTTTTGCTGGCAATATTTCTCCCATCATTAACCAGGGAATAGGGCCAAAAGCTAACGAAAACCCTAATAAATAAATCATAAGGCACGTCAATGGTAACCAGCCTAACGAAGACACATCCATTTTTAAATCGATTTGTACATAAAAGAACGTACCCAACACAATTAATGTTATGGTCATTGTGACGGATGAAATGTATAGGAGAACTTTACGACCGGCCCTATCAATGAGTGCTGTCGCGATGAATGTGGATATAAAATTAACAGTCCCTACTATGATAGTCGATAAATTTCCGTCTACTGAACTACCAGACATTTTGAATATTGATACAGTGTAAAATATAACTGCATTAATACCTGATAATTGCTGAAACGTCATCAGGCCCAAAGAAATTAATATAGACCTTGTGTACTTACGGCTAAATAGCTCTCTTATATTTGAGTCATTAGTTTCTACTTCAGCGTTTGAAAGGGCGATATCACGCAATTCATTGTCTATTTTCGCATTTTTTCCACGGAGCCACTGTAGGGCTTTTCGCGCTTCATCATTACGGCCGCGAGATAAATACCATTGGGGAGTTTCAGGAATCATTAGCATTAGAATAAAGAAAGGTATGGGCAAAGAGGCTCCTAAATAAGCTAGCTCTGACCAATCGAGGAACATTCCTGCGAGATAACAGATTAATATGCCAATATTTCCTATGGCAGTTGGGAATAGCCCTAAGGTGCCTCTGACTTCTGGTTGGATCGCTTCTCCGAGATAAACGGGGAATGCCAGTGATCCGATTCCGACACACAGTCCGCATATAACACGGCCTGTTAGCACTAGGTGTACAGTCTTCGCCGTTGCTATAAGGATCCATCCAACAAAGAAAGGGGGCGCGGTGCATATAATCGTTCTTCGCCTTCCAATATAGTCCACGAGAGGTCCTCCCACAACACCGCCTGCAAGTGCAGCTAGTGGCATCAAACTGCCCACCCAGCTAGCCTGTTAAAGGAAAAGTAATCTTTAGTTATTAATTAACCCTTAATCATAATCGTAATCATTTATTGCTTCATAAGTGTACTTAGGTGGTGATCTTAAACTAAAAGTCTCAACTTATGACCCTGTAAGGGTATTGCAAATCTTAAGTATCGTACATTACAAACCCTTAATGTTTCATAAATGTACTTAGCATCTAATTATAAAGACGTAGCGCTCAGCGTCGCAAGAAAAATATTTCTTATCGGAATGAAGCCTCTGAAATATGGTTCAGATAAAGTAGGTACAGCACATTTCAGGGTAACTATACTTCTTATAATAACCACATGAGTTACTTTTATTTCATCTAAAAGTTATTAAAAAAAATTAAAAGTACATAATTTCTAATCTTGTGAATTGAATTCAATAAATAAGTATCCCATCAAAAACAATACTTGTCAAAAAAACCAAGTCTCGCAACTCAGTTGTTCTACGGTAAAAAGTTGTGAGATCCATGTAATACCAAGTCCAGGCCAGGAAATCTTTAACGTTTTACATAAATTATTGACTTGGCCATCGCACTAAATAATTTAATTTACACGTGTTTTCATGCGATGGCCAAGTCAATATATTTATGTAAAACGTTAAAGATTTCCTGGCCTGGACTTGGTATTACATGGATCTCACAACTTTTTACCGTAGAACAACTGAGTTGCGAGACTTGGTTTTTTTGACAAGTATTGTTTTTGATGGGATCTNTTTTCACTTGTTCACTTGTAAATCAACACTAATCTATCACAATTTAAAAGATAAGCACAAATTCAAAACAAAACACTCGTTTAAAAACACGTACGAACTTGTTTTGATGCATGCAATGTGATATTTTGACAGTGACTCCCCGCCGCCTCATGACATTCGTAACAGTTCGTTTAATCTCGGCAGTCGCTCGGACCTTCGGCGAAACCTTCGGCTTCGGCCGGGCTTTGGGCCGAAGCCGAATGTTTTGCCGAAGGTGGACTTTTTGGCCGAAGGTGGCCGAAGCCGAAGCCGAAGCCGAAGCTTCGGTCGGACACTAGTAATTAGTAATTATTTTTCTACTTTTTAGTGTAGGTTTTTTGTTTTTATAAAATTTTACTTATTTCTTGCTTTTTAGTTAACTATTTATTACCTTGATGTTACCACTGAAGGTAGGCAGTACATTGAGACCATAGGAAACCTAAAAAGACCTTAAACCGTCAGCCCACCTTAAAAACATGAAAGAATACAACTGTTGGTCTATTTGTACTTACAATATTTAAAGATTTATCCTACAACTCCTAAGCATTAAGGAGTTGTACCTACCATGACCAGTTTTTCTTCAAATTCGCATAAAACCACCCTTTCGATAATACCTATTCANGGTTCAAATTGAATGAAATTTTAAATATACCGTTTCTTTACAATGCCTGCATAGCTAATGAAAATTCAGCCTTCTAGTTTTATCCACAACGAAGTTACAGGCGGTCGAAAATGGCCTGAATTGCTTCGAGAAAAGGATGGTACGGCCGTGCCGCTTTTTTGCTCGACTTGGTGGGGGCACTGCCGTGCCCCCAGATAAGTCTCACCTGTTCTTTAGTGATGGAAATAGTCGTACTGTTTTCCATTGTTACCAGAGCAGGGGAAGTGTAAGCTGCTGAAAATCCTATTATCATGGAGCCCATCGATACTGCTACAGCCGCCAATACCTAAAATGTAGAGTGATACCATTTTAATCGAATTGTTTTTCAGATGGTGAATAGGATCGCAAAGTCCTAAACGTTGCATAATATTTGTTAGATTGCTCTGCGAAATAATAAGACGAGTAATGTAATTGCTCCGTTCGCCGCGTGTGACGTTATTCACGGAGAGGTGTGCGGCGCCCGCCCACGATCAATTTGCGCAATCACCAGCACTGATTGAGTCCCTACCGCATCACGTGCATGACGCGCAGGGTTCTAAGATGTATGTTTTGGTTTTGTTTTGTGTCTATTAAGATTTCCTAATAGCCTGTTAACCTTTTTTTTAAATAATACAGCTCTATGAGCTGATTATGCCTGTATCAATTTGTGGACTATAAAAATCTGACAATTAACTAATTTGTAGCTTTTTATGTCATTTAGAGGTAATTTTTCAAACGCCTGAAAATATTTATTTACAAAGCAAGTTTGGTAGCTTTTGTTAAACATTAGTTAAGGTCAATTTATTTTATTCTTTCGTTAAAAGTGATCTCCTGAATGATTAAAAACTAGGCCTTGAAATTAGGTGATTATATGATTCTTAAGTTATTACGTCTAACGCACATTATTAATAGCCGTGCAAAAAGTAAAATGCATGAACAAAACTTGTATACACGTGAGTTCTTTGTTGTTAATAGATTTTTCGAGAAGATTATAATTCATTTATTATATGATTGAATACATTTTGATAGTCCGCCTAAATTATATTTGAATTTAAAAGTTTCACGGTTAGGAAATGTATGCACATGAAAATGTCGTTGCGATCTTGTAATTCGTAGCTGATTAATTGGCATCAATTGACCATTCCCACACTCTAATTATTCCTTTTTATTAAGTACCTAGTGCCTGAAATTATTACGTTACGACTTACGAAATCATTCGTATCATGAATTAAAAAACTGAATTTTAATATCCCACCTGTGAAAAAGTATATTTGGGCTTTTCAAATTCGGTGCTTCTCACTCCTATACTATAATGAGTATCCGCTCTCATTAAAATCTTCATGATGGTGTATTTTTATGTCACAGTTCATACACTATCTCACTGCACAGTTAGATTTTTAAATATGTAATAAATAATGTAACACAGTAAGTGTTCGCGATATACGCTAACGAAGAAATGCGTGTCCCTCGCTATGCTTGCCGCGATATATATGGACACAAATTGATTGACAAAACTGATTGGCTCTCGAGGCTGTGTGATTCAAAACAATGTCTTTGAATTGGCCAGTGAAAACCATGATTTTGTTTCTTTTATGCGAAGATACGATGAATTATCTGCATATAACCGGTCAAATTAAAAAACCTTTTTATGTTATCACGTCAAACGTTTAAATTGCTATGCAAAAAATGACAAAGATGAACAACAATAATTACAATCGATTACATTCACGCCAATTTGCAAATTTTAAAATTTGAATGACGCCGATAGAGTGGGGAAAAACTTGAAATATGTTGCATAACATGTCCAAGGTAATGGATTCTTCATTCGCAGGTCCTATAAAAGTCCGGGTTCAATTTTTTTATATCGGGTAGCCGTACTCGTATCTTCAAAATCCTTACAAAAAATCTACTGAATCAAACGTAATCGTAACATTTCAAGCAGTGCGAAATTCGCGATAGTCGCTAACTAATGCACTACATACTCATTTAATATCCTGAAAAAAATACGTGATGTAACTTATTAATATGGGAAATCTCGCTGTCTTCCTTATGTAAACATGACTTATCTATATNAGTGTAGGTTTTTTGGAGTCGGTTTTATTTTTTGGTTTTAAAATGTTTGTCGTAGTCCAGGGTAGGTCTAAACGGTCATTGAGTTATAATGTACTACAATATTACTTCAATGTAAACGGTGAGCAAATACGCGCGCGATATTGTTTTTCTGTGACAGACAAAATTCCACGCGGGCGAAGCCGCGGGCGGAAAGCTAGTTTATAATAAAATTATTGGTAATAACTTTTCACAGCAATTGTTTTTCAAAAAACTTATCAATCAACTCATAAAAATATCATGTACTACATAATAAATAGTACACAGATGCACGTTAGAAACATGTGCAGTTTATGTGCTAAACAAGAAAGATGTACTCTCATCATCTCATGGGGTAAACACTGGAAAAGGTAAACATGCGTGCATTTATTGCAACATTACGTCATGACATGTTTTTATTGGCCATTGCAGTTGTTCTAGTCGCCATTATTTTCCCTGCCGTACTCTACATTATGTTAAAAATAATTTTGAGTTTCAATGTCAATAAAAAACCACAACTCATTTTATAATTATTGTACATGTGAATAAAACTTAGACATGGTAGTTGATTGCTATAGCTGTTCCTCTTATTGTCTTACCTGCTCAGCCTTTATTATTTTTTGAGGTACCTTTGTTCGTCATAATCGCCACATAAATTAATATTCTAAAGTTTTTAATGGTATATTGATTGAGATTAATGAATACACACGAATCATATGTTTTTTGCAATTTAATTGATTAACAAAGTTGTATTGTGCTGATTCCTCTTCTTAAGAACGTATGTACAATGAAGTGGTCATTGTTGATTTAATTAATTAATTAACCTTGACGCTTGACTCTGGAAAATAATTTCACACACTCCAGGGTGTCAGCATATTAGAATTTTCCTGCCAGAACGCAGAGTAGACCTCCAAGACTTATACGAGTATCTAAAATTAATGACCAACGTTAAATCCGTGCTGCTCTATGGGTGTGAAACGTGGAAGGTCACCAAGGTCATCTCGCACCAGCTGCAGGTCTTCGTCAACCGCTGCCTTCGCCGAATTCTCGGCATATACTGGCCTGAGAAAATCTCCAACGTCGAGCTATTGGAACGCTGCCACGAAATTCCGATCGACCAGCAGATCAAGCGCCGCAAGTGGAACTGGATTGGCCACAGTCTCCGAAGGGATCCCGATCACATCCCCAAGCAGGCTCTGGATTGGAACCCCCAAGGAAAGCGCAAACGTGGTCGCCCCAAGCAAACTTGGCGGCGCACTGTGGCAGACGAGGCGAAGAAGATCGGCAAGACTTGGAGCGAGATCAAACACATAGCTCAAGACCGAACGCGATGGAGGACTGTTGTGGACGCCCTCTGCCCCATCTAGGGGACATAGGACCATAAGTCAAGTAAGTCAAAATTAATGACCCGATCAAGGAACACTTCTTCTAATTTACGTCAAATACTAATATTATTGTAGAGTTATTTTTCAAGTGATAAAAGGATTTTCAACTAGGTAATTAAAGGAATCAGGAGGAAGGACGGATCAGCAAGCTGAAGTGGCAGTGGGCAGGGCACATAGTACGCAGAACTGACGGCCGATGGGGCAGCAAGGTTCTGGAATGGAGGCCACGTACCGGAAAACGCAGCGTGGGACGTCCACCCACAAGGTGGACCGACGACCTGATAAAGGTAGCGGGAAGGCGCTGGATGCAGGCCGCTACCAACCGTGCGATGTGGAAGTCATTGGGGGAGGCCTATGTTCAGCAGTGGACGTCCTGTGGCTGAAATGATGATGATGAATTAAAGGAATCTTAATCATTAACTGTGGTGTCTGATCCGATTCCGCTCAACATTACTTGCGCCTTCTGTAACATTAAAAGCAATGTTTACTTGCTGGGGTGATACTGGAAATTAATATTATGAATATAATAAAAGAGATTTCTGGAGTGTTAATATTATTAATTACATAGGCATTGAGTTGAGCACCTGAAGGATGCCTGTAAAAGTACCCCTATTACCTGAATACATAACGAAAGTCTGGAATAAATGCTTATGCTATTTTGTATCCGTTTTCAAATGAAATTCTTTATTAGTTATGTAGTACTAGCTTTCCGCCCGCGGAATTTTGTCTGTCACAGAAAAACATTATCGCGCGCGTCCCTGTTTCAAAAACCGGTATAAAAACTATTCTATGTCCTTTCCCGGGACTCAACTATCTCTATGCCAAATTTCATCAAAATCGATTCAGTGGTTTAGGCGTTTTCACGCCAGACACACACACACGTGAGACAGACAGACAGAGTTACTTTCGCATTTATAATATTAGTATAGATGCCTACATACTTTTCAGGATTACTTATACAAGTCCCAATTTCATCGCGTCAGTAAGCACATAAAAAGGTCAAATTTAATTTCGATTTTTGTTTAATTTTGTTTTATTCAGAAAACAAACAGCTTACAAACTTGCACACAAACTGTTAACGACTCTACCTACCCTTTCCTATCAAGGTGCCTTAGTATTATTTCTCTGAATTTGCTCAAAAAGGCACATTTGCTAATATTGCTAAGTTGAATAATGGTCAAGCGATTTTTCAGTTTTTCATGTACAATCCTAGTTGTTTAAGGGTCAAGTGTGAACCTGCAAATGATTGGACGCGAGTACGTAGTACGTGCGTAAATTAATTCCCCGCATTACGCGTTCATCGCTCCGTCTGTGCTGCCAATGACTCTAGATACCTAGTTACTTTATGGGCCGGTCCTATGGTTGGTGGCATAATGATTTGTAAGAAATAACTGTTTTGTATTATTATCTTCAATGCCGGTCCAGAGTTTCAATTTTGTAGGTATGTGTTGATAAATGATCGAATTAAAACCTGCGAAAATACATAATTAAAAACTTATAAATGATGTATGTACAAAAAGTACCTATAAATCTAACTGAAGCCTAAGCGTTACCTACATATTTTTTTCGTTGATTAACGGCTGAGTGCCTCTGCAGCAAGAGAGAGAATGGATGATGTACAATTTGCTCATAGGTACTTCTAAAGATTTCAACTTTTGTTTGGATAATTCCAATAGCAGTTTATTACTTACAATTAATTTGATTTTAATATTTAAAAACTTATCGAACCGAACATTATGGTCACCTATATTTTCAGAACGTCTAAGTTCTAAATTTAAATTAGCAAAGTTTTTCCGAAGGTATTTGTGTATTATTTTAATTCATTCATCCTTTATGCTTGTCAGCAGCTTTTATAATGATTGTTATATAGTCAATTTTATTCACGTTAGAAGTTCGGCTTAATATTATGTTTATCGATTAAGGATTGCATTAGTATGTTAGTTATGCGTTTTAGATAACACAGAACACTGACCTATTTACACTTAATTATATATTAGGTGGAAGTGTACATACGGTAGGATTGACAAAAACACAACATTTACTTTAAAATTTTATATTAATAAAAATTATAACAAATAAAATAAATATTGTTTCCGTAATATACGGAGACAGCTATACAAATACACGTCAAATCTTTCTGTTAAAATTCTAACTCTCATAAATGTTAAATCAATTAGTTTATGACAAATTAGACACTTACAAAATAATTATTTGGTCATAAAATAAGTACCTAAAAGTATTTGTCATGCATGATAAACTCAAGATTTTAAATAACTAAATATACAGTTTTAATATTATTCACAATAGATTGTTATACAAATCTTTTACGTATAAGAGATATACATAATCCATAATCACTATTATCGTCCTCAGATCCTGATTCATAATATTTTGACTAATTCAAAAAATGAGATTCTTATAAACCCAGAATCATTGTGAGGAACTTCTTTTACGACAAATACCGCTGTGCGGATCACTTTTACACAAATAATATACAGCTAAAGGAACTATTGATGATAAACTATCACTATGGGTTTAACTAATATAATTTACATGTACGTAGTAGAGAATATATGGCTACAATCCAAATCAGTCTTCTTCATACACTGAACAATCAGTGCATTATTTAATTGCACCTCCTTAAATCTCTATATCCTTATCAATCAGCACAGCACAAGTGCAGCCATCGCACTCTGGAATGTACATTTTAATTTATACTATATCACTTAAAATAAGTTCCTAACGTTGAGTAACACGTTAGCACCCGTTTTGCGTTGGTTTATTGCTACTCACAATTTTAACTCTACGTGCCCCCCCTGTCAGTTTCTTTTCAATGTCTTCTAAACTTATGCCTCGGGTCTCAGGTACGAAGAATATTACGAAAAAGAGGCCAATTAAACATATGACAGTAAACAGCCACATAGCTCCGTACATGTTAAGTGCGAGACTGATGTTTGTGAATGTTTTTGTTACAATAAAAGCACAGGTCCAATTCAAGCTAGTAGCCAAGGATGCAGCAGTTCCTCTAATTTTAGATGGCAATATCTCACCCAACATGAGCCAAGGAATAGGGCCAAAACCAATCGAGAATCCCAAAACGTATATCACAAGGCACGCTAACGGCAACCAACCGAAGTTATCAACATTGACTCCTGCATCCTTTACATAGCAGTATGAACCCAAAGTTACCAAAGTGATTATCATAGATACAGAAGAAATGTATAGTAATATTTTTCTTCCCAATCGATCAATGAGACCCGTCGCTATAAAGGTTGATATAAAGTTAACAATTCCAATGATGATACTAGACAAATTTTTGTCAATACTGCTACCAGACATCATGAATATTTTTTCAGCGTAAAATATAACTGCATTAATGCCACTAAACTGCTGGAAGATCATCAAACCAAGAGATATGGCTATGGCAGGAATGTATCTTCGGGTAAATAATTGTCCAATAGCGTTTCCACGAATATGATCGGATTCAGCTTGCACTCTTGAAAGATCGCGCAGTTCCTTGTCAATATTGACGTTCTTGCCTCTCAACCATTGAAGTGATTTACGGGCGTCCTCCGCTCGCCCTTTAGACATGTACCAGCTTGGAGTTTCTGGGGTCAGGAGCATGAGTAAGAAGAATGGCACAGGTAATGCAGCTCCAAAAAATGCCAACCCTGACCAGTCGAGGTAGTTTCCAACGAAGTAAGCTATGAGTATACCCGTATTACCGAATGCAGTTGGTAGTAATCCCAGAGCTCCTCTTACTTCTGGTTGTAGAGTTTCGCCGCAGTACACCGGAAATGCGAGGGAGCCAATTCCTACGCAAATTCCGATGAGAGCACGGCCAGCGTAGACCATGATGATGCCGTTTGCGTTGGCTATCAGCATCCACCCGATAAAGAACGGTAACGCAGTTGCAGATATGGCTAATCTTCTTCCCAGACATCCTATCAGTGACCCGCCGCAGATGCTCCCAATCAAGGCTGCTAGTGGGACGAGGCCGCCTACCCAACTGCTCTGTAAATAAAATAAACATTTGTTAATAACCAAAAAACACATAGTTAACAAAATGTAAAGCATTGCCATATAATAATCCAATACAAAGGTAGAGTATTTTTAATAGAACTAGAATATTGATTTGACACTATTTAAAATTTGAGGACCAAAATCCAATAAACTACATTATTTAAATTTCTTACGCTGACAAAGAAATAACTTACTTGTTCTTCAGATAGATTCATATCCTCGGTCATCTTCGTTAACGTCGGTGATGTATAACCAGAAGAAAAACCGACGATCAACGATCCCATAGATACGGCAAATGCGGCCAATATCTGTAACAATGTCAGTAATTTCTTAATACTTTATTCTTCACGAACCACTTGTTTCTGCTGTTCAGGTACAAAGACACAGACCTGATGTGGACCATCGTATTTCATGCCTACGCTTAGGTCTCTATTTTTAAACTGTCTTGCGTTCTCGCGCAAGCCTTTCCCGTAAAGCTATGAGGTTTTCTGAGCGTTTCAGCCTTATTATGTACCTTTGCAATGCTAACAAACATACTCTACTTATGTATGTAAGTAAATTACGTCCATGAAGGAAACAGTTTCTCTGTTTGTGTTCGAAGCAAATATGTTTACATGACTACAAAATATATCTGCTAAAGTACGGTCAACTAGCAGCGATACGAAAGGTCGATACGACTGTCGAATTGACAATCTATTCTGTCTCTTCAAATATGTCAAAGTCAGACGGGTTCATCAACATTCGGATATAAATTTTAGTAAACATAGTTGTTGCATTTTATTATTCCGATGTATTTAAGTCTCTATGAAAAAGGGGTAGGCCTGTTCAGTTGCCATACACCGGGCACATTGTGAGGCAGAAATGTTATTATTATTCTCGTTATTTAATTTAAATCTACATTATACAATAATTCAAATTATAACAAAAACAAAATTTAATAAAACATCTATTTTAATGGTTTGCCAGATAGTTTTGAAAACTATATTATCCACAAAAATATGTAATCTAACTATTAAAAAGCTACGCACCCCTGCTATTCCTAATTACCATGACATTGGGTTTGTTTACATTACCGTACTTTATTAAATTATAGATAACAACTTAATTTATGTCCATCACATCAACACTATAATAACTTACTGCTTTATTATACGGTAGCAACTTTCTTATTGATATTAACACATAGAGAAACATAACAAATGTCCAATTCTTACTGACCAAAAGTAATAAAGATGCAATATTTCAAGATACGAGTTAATCAATCGAATCGTAGTTTTCCATTTATTGCATGGCTTATCGATTTACATTGATTTTACTGCAATGAAACGACAGACAATCTATTCACAGTAATAAGCAAGATTATAATGTAAAGATTTTTATCATAGACTTTGAACTAACCTGAGTCCATAGATAGATTTTTTGTGTGGTTGGGCTGTATGGCTGAGCGTCCCCATTGATGGTATAATCAGTTTTAGCTTTACTACTGTCTGTGCTGAGTTGCTTCACAAATGGCACTGAATTTCGCAAATTCTCATCCTTGGCACTCTTTATTTCCATTTCCATCTTGTATTTAAACTCGTTTCCTAAACTGATTTGCCGGAGCTGTTGGAAGTGGCGTCGGGTCTTCTCAAAGGCGTCCTGCTCGTCCTCGCTGCTACTCTCGGTGGAAACGTTCTCTGGGATAGCTGCGTAGTTGGGCGCTAGCGTTCCCTGGGAACCACACGATGTTGCTAGGGATGTACAAGTCGTTGACGCAGAAAGCGTAGGCCGTGATGGGACCCTCGCGTACTTCGGCCCACGAGTGCGGTACAAACGCTCTTCGTCGCCTTGTCCACGTCGGGTCTGTTCGTTTCCCTGTAAGACCAAAATACTTAAATTTATAAAAAACACACAAGAAAACTAACTAAATAACACAACACTTTCAAGCGAGGTTTAAACAATTGCACAAAATTACCAATTTAAACAAATCGCTTCACACCGCGGCACATTAGATAATGAACTGGGCATAATATGCGAATAGGGGTGTATTTATTATGTCCGCTATCTTATGTGCGTAAGCGTTGTGGCCCAAGGGATCTGGGGTCAGTTGGTCTGAGGACCGTACGTCGCACATCTTATTGACTACTGACTATCATATGACCACAGCATGTTTTCGATAACCTAATGATAATGCGAATGCCGGGCACCCTGACCCGGCTTATACACAATTGCCGCCTTAAACTTCATATCACCACATCGGATCAATAGCCAATTCTTTTCTATCACTCCTCAACGTTATTATTGCACCGTTTTATTTAGGAAAAGCGGTGTGCGAGTAATGAGTGTCGCCCGCACCACTGTCCATGTCGAATGCTTGGCGTTATCGGCCGATCTACAGCAACTATAACGATGTTTATAAAACATCAAGTATAAACATTTTCTTTAGTTGTCACCCATTGGCAATTGGCTGCTCAAACAATGTCTGCCTGATTCGATCAATTAGTAATTTAAGCAAACATTAGCAGGGAAAAATTGCAATTCTTATTTATTTACCTAGTATGTTAGTTACCTCCGACTCATTACGGAAGGTATTATATCTTGGCGTGCTCATAAATTTTGGTCCAAAGCGCCTTTCCATTACTTGCAATTTTATTTTGGAATGAATGTTTTAATATAATTGGTACTCAAAATTTCAAGTTATGTTTCTTGTAATAAGTTGACATAAAATTCAATAACGTGGATGGATGACATAAATCATAGATAAAGTGTCTGACTTTTCATGTAGAAACGATAACCTAAAAAGTCCTTAATAATTCTCAGTCGCATGAGACTAGGACAATAAAAAAATTTCGCAAGGCTCATAAAGTATTGTATTTTTACCTCTGCTTGTAGACATTAATTTTTAATTCAATAAATGTATGTATGGTAGGTACTTCAAGTATTATCGCCAATCAGCGTAAGATTTATGACATGATCATTAATTTATGCTCGTTATTCACTGTAAATGTTTTCCTACATGTCACAACACAAAGTATGAAACTGCTTCTCTTATCTTGATGACGTGCGTGAGAGGGCTTCTTCTTGAACCCGCTGTGGGTTCAAGAAGACTCCTCACGTGTCTGTCTATCAGGTCAGGTACAAAGTATTAATTATTTTTTTATAATAAAAACAAACTTATGCGTATTGTTTTTCTTAATTATGCAGAGCAATGACTCTTCATAAAAAGTACGTCATATACTTAGAGGCTCATGGTAAAATACGTCAAATAGGAGAGTATCAATTTAACTTTCATACTTTTACCCAAGTAATAAAATTTGATACGAGTTAATTCGATGATATATGGATGTAGAGCAATTTTCAAAGTGAAGTTTTCCGAACACTCACCATTTGATAGAGCCATTTGTCTGTCTAAGCGAGTGTAGTGTGTGCCATTGTTGTGTGTTTTACTTTAACCGAACCAGCAGAAGTAAGAAGGTAAACTTCTTTAGTGCGCCAAACCCTTGTTTACTCGTATCGATGGCTCATGCTTGAGCATCGTGGCGTGGGGTAAACAGAACCTATATTTTGGACATTATTTCATGGACAAAATTGATGACTGAGTTCATCTACGTATTCTTATCAAGATAGTCGTATTTGGGAAAAGTTTGAGGTACTATAAAAATGCTGGTGATTAAAGCTTTAATGATAAATGTGTACGTAAACAACGCTACCTATTGAAAAGCAACGACAATAAATTCCAACGGCTAGTTCCGATATCGCACCGTTCAAAGTGGCGCTTCTATCAAAAAGCAAATGGAACAGTTTTTTCACTGTAGAGGGCGTTGCTAAAACTGTATGCATTCATTTTCAGACAACTTTAAAAAAAAACTGCGATACATTAAATGTAAAAATTTTAATAACAAACTGATATTTATTACCTACTTAGTCATGAAAAGTACATAATTTGCATAGATTTATTCATATTATTCCATACAATAAATACCAATACATCTCTACATTTCGAATTAATTTCTCAGGCCAATAGATGGCACTGTCCAAGATTATGAATGGCTCTACATGATTTAATTAAAACACTCTTCTCTTTTTCCTCTTAAAAATACACTTTTTAGAAAATTATTGGCTGAAGTTATCGTGGTGTAGCTTATTACCTACTATAAAAATACTTCCTATTTCCTGAAAAAATCTACATAATCGACTCTACATTATTCATTAGTGACATTTTTATAATCTATTCATTGATACCTACTGGAGGAAATAACATCCCGTGCAATAAAATATCGCGGAATGCCTGCATTCCACGGCCGACCTTGCAAGGCCGCTCCGGTTCAACACCGCTGCAATCGTCTACCACTTGTTTACAATATGCATTAAAATCGAAAGTACCACTTATTGTTAAAATAGCACCAGCATGTGCCCTTAGATATGTGCCTTATTGATATGTGGAGTCGACAACTTATGGAATCGAAAACATGCTATGTCAATAATGTTCAGTTTCATTTATGTGGTTACAAAAACTACTTTACAGTAGAACGCAGTACGAGCCCAAGTTCAGCAGTAATATTTGTATTGACTTAGCTATCTAATAGCGTTGCCAAGCAACGGATAAAATCGACCGTCTGCCACCCTCACTCTGGTGGGTGTGGGTCGTACGGGTGGCGAAGAACGGTCGAGAGCTTTCCAAAACAGAAAATTCGAGAACGCTCAAGCGTTTTCTTTCACCCGGCAAACAGAATGCGCGCGGAAAGTTAAAAATGCAACAAATGAAAAGTTTGAAAATAAAACTTACCATTTCCGTGGACAACTGCTTCAAGTATCCCATGATCTTCCCCATTGCATTGGGGTTGTTCTTATTAAAGCTCATCTTGATGCTGTTACTTGAATTCAAGTGACCTCAGGACTGTCAAAGACGTCGTCAGGGTACGTCAAAGTGATAATGTCTATAAAATAATACGATGTATCTTTTCCTTAAATCTAAAAGTTCTTTAAAATCCAGGTTCGCGAATCACCGCTGAATAACACACATCACTCGCAACGTAAACTTTTACTGCGATGGTCGGCCAGCCTGCAGTCGCGGTCTGACACAGTTTTTAGATATGTAAAGTCTTAAACACGAATTGATTTGCAAAGTTCACAATGATTGAATAACTCATTCAACGAAGTTTAAAGCTCGCGCCACAACCTGTAAGGGTGCACAACATTCAACTAGTATGCACAACAAACGTAATGTTGGCAGCGCGGTAACGAATTGTTCAGATTCAAGTTCGCTATTGAAACTTGCAGATGGCAGCGCAGTGTTTTATATAGCAATGTTGGTAGAGGCCGGCGGCGCGCCGGCAACCCCCCCGCGACCCCGCGCCGCTCGCGCCGTACCTGGGCTTCATGTCTGTGAAAACATATTAGTGTGAGTGCACTCACACTTTCAGTGCAATCAACTTACCTGAATTACTGTGTACAATTTGCAGTCGCCTTAAGAATTCGGCTGCCATACTTACTCAGGTACAAAATATCTGTGTCCGAACTCAGTATTTTTTTAATATTTATTAATTTAATAATTACATGGAATTTAAAATTGAACCCTAACTTTGCGCAAAAATTTTCCATGTTAGTGATTGTTATATTTGGAAAAAGTTTGCGCGATAAAAATAACTCGGGTGAATCAACTCTACATTTATTATTTTTCCTATGGCCTTGACCGTCTCTGTTGCGTGTGATACCCATTTGGTTTTTCTTATAGTAACTTATAACTTCCTAAAATTGATTGAATAATCATTAATTTTTCATAAATCTAATGTCTCTACAATAGTTTTTCGTCAGCATTGTTAACATTTTGTAATGCTTATCAAAATTCTTCAGTAGGCGTTTCATACCGATTGGCAATGTGAGTGACGGACAGATCATTTACATAACAACAAGTCTGTTATTATAAGGCGAGACGAGCCTCCGGCCGCTGCGGTTTGCGGTGCGCGGAAGGGTGACCAAACGACTTATGATTCTAAAATCAAACATGCAATTTAAATTCCAGTTACTACAAAGCAAAGGCCGTTACCACACGGATGTAGGTAATTCGTATCTATGAATAAACACTTTTTTCAATCATAGCAAATAAACTTAAAATTCTAACTCGTCTATCGCAGATTCGATGTAGTCACATGATTGCCATTTATTTTTAGATTTGTCGCACTACTATTATTTTTTGTTATTCGTTCGCACATATAAACTTTCGTCATTACCTCACATCACATGAGTATGTGCTATTTTTGTTCTTTCTATTCTACATTATGTATTTTAATTTCTTTTGTAAAGACAGCTCTATTTTCAGTCAGTATACTCGTAATTATTCTTTTTGACGTAGCTCTTGTTTCTAGGCAACTATTTATAGTTGATAAAAATGCTTGTAAATTTAATTATATTAAAACTTAAAACATATTATTTTTAACTGGATAAATAAATTTCTACATTCAAATCTTCAAATCCATGGGAGTCACATCTCAAATTCCCAACAGGGTCCCATATACTTTTTTTGCATCGTTAAAAGCAATCCTTTCAAATCGAATGCAAGCTTTTCTTTTGATTGTTTACTTGTTTTAAGTATAATAACTTAACTGTATCGATACATCAAAAGGCCATTTTTAAATGATATTATAGGTAATTGAGTGCACGCGTTAGGACAGTCACCGCGGAGGCAGGTCGCGCGCGCGTCATGAGCGCTCGTGCCGCGCGCCTGATTGAAATGCGGCCGCCTACAAATTGGACGCCGGCAACAAAGCAATAACTTCAACCGTTTTGTCACCAATCCCCTTATTCATAAAGACCACTACAGTCTTATAATCCTTCTTGTTTCTTTTTATCACATCATCAGGTCTTTTAGTCTCCAATGCAGGAACTTACTCACTCACAACCACAGTTAAATCCCCTATTTGATCTTAAGAGAAAGAATTTTTGAAGAAACTGAAACCCTTTCAAAATTTTCATTTAGCCATAGCCACTTGTTACCAGCTCATGTTGTAATATTTTTCAGTCTTTCAATCTAATGAATGCAGGCTTCCACAAATTCAGATAAATTACCAAAAAATAACAAGGTAAGCTTGTTGTTTCTTGTTAGCAAGCTTGTTACTAAACGTTTGTCTCTCTAACGGTTGGATTTAATTCCTTTTTTGTCACGACACGGGGACGTGATGATGTTCACGAAAGCAAAGAGCACGCCACGCGTGTCACGTCACATGAAGTTCGGCCAATTCCTTCCAATGCGATAGCCACAAATTTAGGCCTCGGTAACAAATCGATAAAGTCAATACCCCAACCACACGTAAATATTGATTTTCTTGTATTTTAATTGCTTCAAAGAGCGTAAATGTAACCTGTGGATCTTATTTAACTAAACTTTTCTGCTAATAACTGTCAGATGGATTTTTTGCGTCGAGAGAGAGCATATCAAATCCCGCAACAACAGTTTACAGGAAAGAAAATTTATTTTCAGTGTCAGCTTTTCTCGTCCTACTTCAAGTGTTATACCTATCTTTTACCCATTTCTAGGTTATTTGTTGCTACAGGTTTTTGCATCACAACAGCCTTTGTTTTAGAAATGTCACACCATTATAATGTCAGCGTGACGTAAATGACCGCCAATGTTTTTCGCTCATAATACGTCAATCATAATTATGTCTAACAGTGTTTTTAAATGACGTATTCTTATCAGGTGATAATGTAGTGTCCAAAAATGTGTTAAACAAACAGTAGCTACCGAGATGAGTCACTTTCAAAGTATCTTCATAATATCTTGAGACGATTAATTGCTTTCAAAATCCACTGTAACTATAATATACTGTAGAATATTAGGTCACGCTTTTTTTCGAGAAATTTAATCTTAAGGAAAAACATGCATTTTTTATATTTAATACTAAACATAACCATCAATTGTAACACTTAATAAAAATTGGCAACTGTGCTACGAAATGGCATCCAGGGTGACCTTATGACTAACTGTACTGTGAAGAACATTCTAGCTCGAATCGAACCCGTAAGGTCGGCGCCACCCGCGTGCTTGTGACATCAATGAGCGCGTGCACCGCATCACGTCACGTCCCTCATAAATCCCCGAAGCGATCCCAAAAGCTGTCTGTCTGCGTGCCCCGCCTCCCACACACACCCAAAGAGCTTTCGCTAGACGTCACACATGCGTCACGATTGATTCAGTCAAAACAGTGCGTGCCGCTTGCAACGCTTCAAACTAGATTACATCAGTCATGTGCGGTATTCACTTGAAAATACAATATTTTTTACACAATAAGTTAACCCTTAGAACGGCTATCACCATGCGTCTAACCGGGGGGCATTCACCACACATGACCTTGCTGACACACTGAGGCAGTTGTGTAAACTTTATAGGCCTACACATACATTATGGTTTCAGAAATATCCGTGGAATATTACCAGTGTGAACATGCGGGCATGACGGGTCTCGACGTTCTCGAAAGTTCTCATGTAAGCGGAATGTAATAAGAAAAGCACATCTTGCAGTCGAAAGCTTGTCGCATTTAAATGCTGACAAAAATATGAATTTCTGTAATCTTTGTTTACCTTAAAATATTCGTGAGGCCGGTGGTGACTGATTTGCTTAAAATTCGTATATCCTTAAAAGTACCTACTGTCTCATAGACTGCTACGAAAATATTGAGATTTTAAAGTAATGTGGAACACACTTCCATTGGATACTCAAATTAATGCATTCGGTAAGAGATTTTTAATCTACGAAACAACTGCGCTATAGACTTGTAGGTATGCGATTTGTCTTCATTAAAATCAAAATGTAGAGTCCTCCTAAAATTACACATTTATTAAATTACAAAATACAAAACATTTACCACTAAACAATGGAAACAGTTGTACATACCTATAACAGTACTAACTAATACATAACTTTTTTGTTACATTTTAATCATTTATGCATAACAAGGCAGTTATTTTACTATAGTCATAGTAAGCTTTTTTAGTAGCAAGACAGTATTTCATTTAATATATCACTTTTAATTTGGCACCGGTCATTTATAGGTATGCAGTTGCCTCTTCATAGATACACCCTTTAACCTTTTAGAAACTTTAAACTGCAAATACCTAACAGTCTCTATAAAATAGGTATATTGACTGCACACAAATGTGTAACGCGTTTAATCCACCTGGGAGTGTCTTATCTAATCAGTTTCAAACTGAGATAAATGTCCGATTAAAAATTTCCATGGAGGGTTTTTAGTTATACCACAGTTATAAGAGTTACGTTACAACACTTCAATATTTCATATTCATTTGTTTAGTTACACAACTAAACGTCACTATTTGATAGCGTCATTTTTCTTTTAAAAAGTTATGTTTTTCCATGGTTATAAATAAAATAGAATTAAAATATTTGGCGTAATACCATATTATCATGATTGATGATATTTAACAACGTAAGTATTTTGGCAATTCTTTACGATAAATCTTGGTTTGCAAACAGAATAATCAGTCCAAAAATAAAACACTTATCTACGTCCTGCCTTAATCTACGTCATTGTCATCAAAGTTATTATACCGCTTTTGATTGCATAGAAAAAAGAATCGATTTTCTTCTATGTTATGGCATTATAAACAAATAATCGGTCGGCATGTAATGTAATATGTATGATGCCCTCGTTAGCGAAGGCACTTTCAGGATGTATGTGACGCAACTAGGGCAATCAATAAATTCCTAGGCTAGGTTTTAAACTGCACTTGCTTTATGGGTTTAACATTATGAAAAACGTTCACAGAAAGAAAACCATTTCATATCTGAAGCAAAAATGGCAACTGTAGCTAAACTGGTAATTTATCGCGGGCTAACATTTTGATAAGGGTAACCCTGAGCCTTTCAATTAAGATGATACCAGTACCAGTACAGCATACAAAAACTACAATTTAGCTAAGGTCAAGGAAGGGATAAAATTACAGTTTAATGTGATCAGCGACACTCGTAAAATGAAGATAAATCTATCTGCTATCATCGCGCTATATTTTATGGAATATACTGCTTCTGAAATTTTTCAGAATGTGTATGATTTTATTGCATAGCTAAGGGAATCTTTTTCTACGGTACAATCGCTGAAAACAAGCATAATGAGAATGCATAGTAGAGCAACTACTGCAGTATGCGCAGTGGCAACGGCCGTCCTTGGCGTAGCACTCTGTTACATAACGAAGGTCAATCAAGGCAACATCCCTTTGCTCGTATTAAAATGGAAATTTAAAAGCTCGCAAA